TTTGATATCGATAATTGAGGAGTTTTCTTTTCTAAAACTTATCCTTGTTAAGTTATGACGCATCAACATAAATTCTGAGATATAAGCGCAATTTGTCATGCTGACTCTAATCAAGTCGAAATTTCCCTTACTAAGTTTTTGCAAAATGACGAAGGTAAAATGGGAGAAAAGAAAAGACATGTGCTTATATACTAATAATGGTAACCGCAACGGTTACGAATTGCAAAGGTGAGGGGCATTGAAGTCATTACACCGCAAAAGTAATCATTAGACTCCTGAAACGACATATTCAATAAATGCGCACGAAATGCGAAAATGGCACAAAGCGGCTGCAGCACGCTAACAAATGCGACAAGCACCACATGTCAGAACAAAATGATTACTGACAAGAAAATCGGTAAGGAGAACTAAAAACTCAAATCCGGCATTCAAGAAATGGACACCTAGAGACAATGATGTTTAGCCGAATTACAAGGATAATGCACTTGGGGGCAACCCGCCAGTTTGATCTGAACAACTCAAGCTCATTCATCAGCCGACTATATACACAATATCTCGTCGGGTTCATTCTTAACCCGACGAGATAAGGGGCCGTGAGGAATCATTCCCGGTTCCATAAGAGAGTTATAAGCTCAGAACATATGTTAGGGCATATGTGTAAGGACTGATGCAAAGCCGAGTCTCTGGAATGGTGTGCTTGGGGGCAACTCGCCAGTTGGATCACAACAACTCAAGCTCATTCCTAACTCGGCGTAAGGAATATGTACGACATCTCACCGAGTTCGTCCCCAGCTCGACGAGATAAGGCAATGAAGTCGCCGGTTGAAAAATTTTAAGATGCGTGGAGCATATGCGCAAAGAATTCACAAAAACTCAGACGTTTTCAGCAGAAAACCCGAACCAATACAAAAAGGAGTTCACCCCGGCAACCCGGATATCCAGGTAGCCTGGCTGAGGGCCAACTGTTATGGACCCGTATAAGGGGCCCATTGATTGACAGGCCCAACAAGGGGAAATCTAAGATTTAAATCAAGCATAACTATGGAAAGGTGTCCATCAAAGATACTAATCCTTATACGACAACATGACAGATTGGCTTGGGCCCTTATCAAAGGCATTAAAGGTCCATATTCTACTACCCACAAGTATATCCTATAAATAAGAGATAAAACCTAAAGGTACTTTACGCTCTCTCTCTTACTGTTATGTTGTCACTGTGCGGACACACACACACACCCATTGACAAAGCCATTATTCGCTCATTGTGCACAGTGATCTGGTTGACTCAAGGGTATCTCCTTCATAGATACCTTGGAGAGGGCACTAAATTCAAGATCAACATACCAGTCCATTGGGCTGGACATCTCTATCTCCAAGACAGAACAAGTATCAACATACAACAACATGTATATATATATATATATATATATATATATATATATATATATATATATATATCGATTTTTCTGCAGCTATTTTACGTGCAGCAGTGACAAATTTTCCATATATTAGATTAAAGTATTTAACGTGGGAAATCAAAACCATACAAAAGGTGAAAGCATTAAATGTGGAGAATCATAACGATACACCTATCATTGTTGCACGTATACCAACTTTATATATATATATATATATATATATATATATATATATATATATATATATATATATATATATAAACTTTTTAAGCATTAATACATAGTTGAGTTTGTAAACAAAAAATTTGTAAATATAACCTTATAAACTATACGATGTATGTAATTTCAGGAATACATTCCTAATCGAATCTATTCCCGGTAATACATAGTTAAGTTTGTAAACGTGAAAATTTTAAACGCATCTATTCCGGTTGAATGACCGATCTGAATAGAAAAGACAGCTACGTGAATGAATATAATGTGGAAAGCAAAGAAACAAATTGTCTAATTAATTTTATAAAAGTAAGATGTTGTAGTATAAATGAAATGTTGTGAATTCTTCTATGAGATGGTACAATTTCAACGTATTACGGGCTTTTGTTGCACCTTATTCATAAAATCAAAGTAAACGTCAAAGTTAAGAGGAAGGAAAGTGGACTAAAGTACAATCATTCCAAATCTTCTCACTCCTTTGCAAAATTTGAGTTTGGTTTTGCTTGAACGATGGCGTATTTACCATAAATTTTGTAACGTCTCTGTGGCAGGATTTTCCCTCATCCTTCACAAGGCTAAGGCAACAATTATTGTCTACTGTTTGATTACCAACAAATATTGAAAAGAAAATTTGTTGACCACAGTTTGGCTTTAACTTATTTACACAATTACTCAAATATTTTTGGTACGGCGACAGTGGCCCTAACACTTTATTATGGTGATTGGAGGAACCCAGAGATGATTGCACAATTTGATAAGAAAGTGATGTACTGATCAATAAGGTATAACACACAATAAAGGTCATCGATACATAAAAGTTACTGAAAGATGTCATGGCCCTTTAGACAATAGTATTTTACCCTCGCTTCCTTTGAGGCTCTTTTTTTTTTTTTTGGTATCCTGCTTCCTTCAAGGCTTTGCTTGTGGTAGTAAGTGATCAATATAGCCATATTTATACTTTAAATTCTAACGTAAACATTTGCAAAAATTAATAGTTACCACTAACTCCATCGAAATAAATAAAGTAAGTTACTTGTAATTTATTAGTTAATAAACGTCATTCTTGTTTCCAAAAAAAAAAAAAAAAACGTCATTCTTTAATTGCCTTACAATCCTCATTTAATTTGAAAAACTGGATTTCCAAATTGCGTACGGAAATTAAAAAAATGGTAATTAACTAGTCAACATGTGTGTACCAATCATATTTCATAGAGTTGAATGAATCATTCATTACAAAAAAAATGATGAAATGTTTTAAAAGTACTTTTGCTAAATTTATAGTTTTGTTCCAAATTTTTAACAAGATTTTCTCTCCTTTTCATTTATCGAATAAGGGGAAATTATGTAATTCAGTGTTTGGATTCTTTTTATTAAAAAAATGTTATCTTCTTTTCATTTACCTATTCATCGTCGAAGGTGATATGTTTTCGGTCGAAGATTACATTATTAATTTCGATGGAAATTGAAAGTTTCGTCCCTAATTTTGACGGAATTATTTCCATCATAATTGAGTCTTTTCTAGTAGTGATATATGATGAGATTTTTCATATCTCTTGGCTAACTTATTAAACATCTCTACCATCACTTTAGATAAGATTATCTGCAGCTATCCTTTTTTAATTAAGTCTAACCCGTAAGACATAAAAATTGTATTTTTTCTCTCTGTCACGTCAGCCGATAATGTCTTAGGAGAGAGAAAAAAGAACGTCTTTATTGCAATAACTATGTCTTACTGGTCAGACTTAGTTCAAAAGGAGTAGCTATAGATAATGTTATCTAAAGTTACTGTAGAAATACTTTTTCATATATATATATATATATAGGGGAATGATCCATTTATAATTTTTTTTTACAAATTACACTAAATATGACCGGTCATACATTCTTGATTGAAGTATGACATGTCATACTTAGTGTATTTTATAAGAGTTTGTAAATAAAAAGTTTGTAAATATAACCTTCCCCATATATATATGGGGAGGGTTATATTTACAAAAAATTTGTTTATAAACTATACTATGTACTTCCAAAAATATATAGTGTAATTTATAAAAATTTATAAACGAATCTTTCCAATTTCGAAACAAAACAAATGTGAGCTTACAAGGTCTAATCACAAAACCAAGACACAATGATATTTCATTTCCAGTATTTTTGGTGTAACATCATCAATCATGATTGATGATGTTTCTCAAAAAAAAAAAAATATATATATATATATATATATATATATATATATATATAAGAAAAATATTTCTCAAGCTGCTTGAGATATATTTATTTTCGGTCATCCCAAAACTAAGTTGTTTTGTTTATTTATTTCCTTATATTAATTGATTCACCTTTCAATGGTTATGATTCTTTTTCTCTCTCTCTCTTCCTTTATTACCGTTAATCCATTTTTGTACGGTTATGATTTAGTAGCCGAAGATAAAATTATCTCAAACAGCTTGAGAAATGATAAGCCATAATATATATATATATATAGGTAAAATCATTTCTGCAGCCGCTTTACGTACAGCAACGACAGGTATATGGTTATGATTTCCCACATTTAATACTTTCATCCTTTGTATGGTTATGATTTCTCGCATTTAATGCTTTCAGTCATATATATGGCAAGTATTTGATTGTTGCAGGTACAGCAGCTGCAGAAATGTAAACCCCATATATATATATATATATATATATATACTCTTTGTAACTAGATTATTCAACTCTAATATGCAATGTTAATAAGACCGGCCTGGTCGGGTTGACCCGAGAACCGATAAATCGGTCATGTAATCGATCAGGTTGAAGCAACAGACCGATCATGCATAAGAACCATTGCGACTGGTTTTCATGAAAATCGATGACCCGGCCCCAGTCCCAAAAAAAATCCAAAAAAAATAAAATTCAAAAACAAGTCATAATAGACATATATGAATATTTTTTTCTTATTGAATTACATAGGTTATGTACCTACAATACTAATATTATCTCAACTATACACTACTTAGGAAATTTTGATTTGATTTATAGTTAGAGGTGTCGTTTACTGAACCTGAAGCCCCTTATCACAATTATTATATTTTTATTTGATCCATTATTGAATAATAATGTGTGATTTATTATTTTTTATATTAAAATATTTGAAATTTTTATAATTTTTTTTAGATATTTGAGTATGTTTATAATTTTTTAATATAAATTATAAAATTGTATATTATTACCGGATCATGCGGTTCATCCAGTGACCTATTGATTGAACCAATCAACCAGGCCAATAATCGAGCCGGTTTTAATAACATTGCTAATATCTCATCAAAAGTGTTTGTTTATTCATAATGGAATTCATAGAAATTCCTTAATAATAAACAACACTCTTTCTTCATTATCAATAATAAAAATTTAGTTTATTCCTAGTACAAAAGAGAGAGGACTAAACAAATGTGCACTAACAGCAATCTGTCGCTCTCAGGTCCTATGCAAGTTTACGATAATGTAATACGGATTTCCACACGGAGTTACAACAATTATGAGAAATTAACAATCTATCTAATCACTATATTCAAAATTTCACAGGTATGGTTGCTATGACAATGCTGTTGACTGTCAAACTGAACCCCAAAACATCCACTCCAAAAGAAAAGATATTAAGATTGGCTAGTCGTTGATTTCAGACAATACAAGGAATAGCATGAACACGAGTCTGAAAGTTCAGAAGTTAATGCTTGATTCAACTATGCCACTATATTTTGAATCGAAGGTGGTAAAAAATTCCATATAGTGCCTGAAATCCCTTGGAGATGCACGGGAGCTGCTAAAAATTGCAATGACTTCCTGATCTACCGTTTAGACTTTGGATTAGTTAAAGCTTCAAGAAGTCTGAACATCCAACGGTCCATCATCCCTGTTGATATAAAAGAGTTTTATATTTGATGTGAGCGAAAGAAACACAGTTAACTGCAGTAGGAAGAATTTTAATTCATAAGGACTCCATAAAACCAACTTGCGAAAACTTTGTGAATATCATAATTTTACAATCCTACGGACGGAATTAATCTACTAAATAGGTTGAACTCTTGCTGAAAATGCAAAACCACAATTAAATTCTCTAAATTATGAATAAATCTTTGGTACTACTGCTGTACTAAAGATTCAGTGCATCCCACTAATGAAAATAATACATGTCAGTTAAAATTCTTTTTTTTTTTGTTAAATTTTTTCTCTCTCCTCTGATGTGTAATGCTCTCATTGATAAAATGCACTGAATCTAGGTACAACAGTAGTACCAAAGATTTATTCCTAAATTATGTGACCTGACTTAAAATTTGCTAAACCGGAAGAAATAATTATATCTCAGGAATATTTCTATTTTTATTTTTTCTGGAGTATCTAAAGGACAAGTCACTTTTTGCACGGTAAAGTATATCTCAGTTTTGTAGATACAATAATCCAATGGCACACACACTGCACATAATTGGTAGTTAAGGAAAAAAACCTGTTAAAGCAAAGGTTCCACCTAGCACTGCACAAAGCCGAGTAATAAAATGAAGAAAACTGCGGCGTTCTTCTTTGATAGTGACAGTAATGGGTGAGAGATCATACAAAAAGTAGACAGCTGCACACATAAAATAAATGCGAAATGATATTCAGAACCTGCTGCACTCAGAAATGAACAAAGCCAATTTCAAACACAAAAGCAACCTGGCCAGTTCCGATCAAACTGATTAATAGGAGAATAATATTCTGAAACGGAAAACTGATTAGTTGGTAGAACTTCTTTTGAGATATATCTATATTCGGTTGGAACAACCTGCATCACAATTTGAGAAATTTATGAATTTTACCAAACAAAACGATGCTGAGATTACAGAGGCAAACTCTAAAATGTACTTCAGATTAAGGGCTGCTCTGGGATTATGAACAGAACCATCAATCTAACTTCAGGAGCTGCTAAATTTTTTGGGCAGATTGAAGGAAGAGAAATTAGACATTCAAAATAAAGTTTATTTAATTATGGCCGGTCATGAAAGAAGTCTGAACAATACTATAAGTTAAGGAGATATAAGTTAGATTTTAAATCCAAGAGTGTGACTGCACTGCACAATCAAGAAATAACAATTTTGCTAAACCAAAATCAAAAACTGATCATTACTTTCTACATATAAAAAGTATACCTAACAATACAAATATATATATATATTGTCTTCAATTTATATTACTTGCTATATATGACAAATCACAATATCAATTAATATCAAGTAACTCTATCTACTATATCTAGCAATATCCACTACTATTAGGTAACTTTATCTACTATATCAAACAATATCTATCAATACAAACTCTTTTTACTAACAGGCCCATCTAGATCATTGGGTCCATCCTTATTTCCTCCTCACATACACCTTCCTAATCAGAGAGGCATGCTACTAACATATGTCATTTAGGCCACGTTTGAAGATTATTCAAGAAATAGCTTAATACTCAAACCTTTATATAATATTTGAATGTTCCACTTGTATCATGCAGAATCCTTTCTGTCCCGTCAAGTGGGTTGTGAATGCCTGGATATTTGGGACCAAATGACAAATCGTGGATAATGTGACTTACATTCACATTCTTTGATCCATCAAAGATCTGTAGAAAATCATCACAACTGAATTAGGTATCTGATATACAACAAATCATGAACCTGATGAGCATAATTGTAAGCAAATTTTAGACAGGAAGGTCTGACACAAGCTATTAAAGTAACGTTTCAATAAATTTATCTGCATATTCCTAATAAAGGCTAAAAAAATTAGATTACAGAAATTTCATCCTTGTATAAATTGGTATCATTTACAAATAATTGAACTTTTCTGTAAGTCCCTATTGGTGTGCAGTAATGCAGCATTGTAGTTGCTCCCCTATCAGGAATGAGGACTCTTTTCTTTATAGTTGGCCCTTTACAATGCAGTTGTATTGCGTGAAAGCATGCTGTGTAACTCATAGCCAGAACAGAAAGGGAAGGTTTATCTCAGTTATAGAAGCCAGATTGTAGCATAAACAATCCCACACTTGAATGAAAAAGGACTGACTATTATTTCTGAATTTGTTGTAAATAATTGTATTTGTTTATTTCTTTATTTTTTTAATTCCATTCTAGAATCTTCTTTGGGCTTAGCCCATTAGGTTATTTAGTCTCTGTAAATAGAGAGCAATTGTTAAGATGTAATAAACAATTATCAAATAATATCATCCCTTTTTTCAACTTGGTATCAGAGCTCTCGATTCTGAGGGCTCTGCTTCCGCGACTGCCACCTTTAAAGCGGAACCCTATTTGTTTGCCTCTCACTGCCATCAAGCCGCCACCGGAAAAATAAAATTCGAGGACCTTTTGGACCGAGAGGATCTTTGTTTGACTCTTTTTCTACCGCAGTACTGTTCATCGGTACTGTTCACAATGCGAACTGTTCATCATACTGTTCATGCACACTGTTCATCAGTGCTGTTCACGAGGTATTGTTCATCGGGTACTATTCACGCAAAAAGGACACTTAGGAAAGTAATTATTTATTTTAGCAAAGGACACTTAGGAAAGTAATTATTTATTTTAGATTATATATTTTAATACATTGTACATTCTTTTTATTTAGATTATGAGCAATGCTAATAGTTGATTTGTTGTCACAAAGCAACTTTATAGGAGTTTCACAATTTATCTCCGGTTATGCAACAAATTCCTTGTATCATAACTCAAAACTCAACCTCTGTACTTGATTGGGAAACTAACACTTTGTTTCTTACTCCTCCATATAACTAAATTTCCAGCCAAGAACATACAGTAACCAAAGGTTGTTCACCTATTAATAATTGACCCTGCATAATTAGAATTTGTACATACTTCCATCAATAGGTATCTACCTCTTTTGAACAATAATCCTCTGTCCACTGCCTATAAGTCATGCACCCTCAGGCCTAGTATGTACCAGGTATATCGATTTACCAACTAACCTCTAATATTGAGCTCTATCAACTTTGAGACTTTCATCATCTTTTTCCATTTTGTGGTCCTACTCAACAGGTATACCAACCTAGCTTCCTAGTTTCCCTAAGGAAGTAAAGAACATACTTCCTTTAAGAAATAAAGATGTCTTGTTTGGAGTAAGCAACTACAATCCCAAGAAGTATTTGAGTCTTACAAGATCTTTCATCTCAAACTCAGTTGCTAGTTTTCTCTGAGAAGATGTTTCTCAATTAATTGATCACCTAATATTATAAATTTCATCAACATACATAAGACATTGAGTTTACCTTCCTTTGAATGCTTTAAGAAAAGAGTGTGATCACCCTGACACTACCTATATCCCAAAGACACCATTGTCTTTGTGAATCTTCCAAAGAATGCATAGGGAGACTGCTTTAGTCTATGTAAGTCCTTTTCATAATTTACATACTTTATTTATACACAAGGAGAATGATACCCAGGTGCAATCTTCATGTAAACTTCCTCTTCCAAGTTTTTGTGAAGAAAGACATCTTTAACATCAAATTGTTGCAATCTCCACCGCAATGAGTGGCATAGGAGAGTAACACTCATGATAGTCGAGTCCTTCTGCAACTAACCTTATTTTATATTGATCTAGTGTACCATTCGACAAAAATTGTAAGGTATATATCCATCAACAACCGACTGGGGGTTGCTGGTCTTTCAAGAATCTCTAATGTCCCATTTTTCTCCAATCCTCATCTCCTTATTCATGACTTGAACCCAATTCTTGTCCTACAATGCTTTTTGCACTATTGTTGAGATCCTGATAAAATCAATGGTGGAAATGAAACTCGTTCTGGAAGGAAAGGATTTTAGAATAGGCAAGTGGGGTAATAGGATATTTGATACACGACCTTTTTCCTTTCCTCAAGGCAATGGGTGAGTCATCTTAATCAAGATCTTAATTATTTAAAGGAATATTCAAAGTATAAGACAGTAACATAAGGATTAATATTTTCAATACTTACCACAGGTTTGGATGTCCAAAGCTGATTTTGGATAAGTTTGGGTTTTTTCTTCATCTGGTGTACCAATTTTTGTGGCCACTGCCTTCCTTAGTAGGTTCAAGTGCTGATTCAGACGAGGCAAAAGAAGGTACTAGTTCTTGTACTTTAGCAAAGTTAGACAGCAAGGGAAAAGGGAACTCAGGGAAAGGGGACTCAACTTCAAAGGACATAAGAAAACTCTTCCCTAGAGGACAAGTAAAATATGAATCATCGTCAGGAGTAGTCAAAACAGCTTCACCTCAATAGGAACTAGGAACAGACATTTGGAAGAGTACAAGTTCCAAAAATTTCAAATGAATGGCGATTCTTTTTTCTAGCAAAACCATTTTTTCCACACACGTGACTGCATGAATAATACCATGCTCCCGACCATATTTATTAATCTCGGATAGCGGCGCGTAGCGGCTGACCCTCCAAACTGTTATAGCGCTATAGCGGGTAGCGCTACAACGCTACTATGCAAAGTGTATCTAAGTGATACACTAAATTGTACTCCACAAATATAAAACTTAAAATAAGAAAATGTGACATAAAAAACAAATTTGAAGGACCTTAAACTCAAACATAAATGATTTCGAACATTAAAATTCAAATCATAAGCAAATTGAAGGAATTAAAGTATCAAATAATGTAATACAACAAAATAAAGTGGCAAAATTAGTCAAAATTCAAACTGCCACTTAAGTGAAATGTCAAAATCAAAGAACTCAAGGAACTAATCATAATTAAAATCATGAACATCCAAATCTTCATCTTCACTTTCACTTTTATCTAAGTTGTAAATCTCTTCCTTCTATGACGATAACACTTTTGCATAAACTACTGTAGCGGCGCAATAGCGGCCGCTACATCCGCTGCACTTTGCTTGACCGTCGCGGCGCGGTTTGTGGCGGCCGGCCGCTGCACCGCAATGCAATTACGCTATAGCGCGCTAAAGCGGGGCTATTCACAAGTATGCTCCCGACCAGGATGACAAGAAGTAGAAGTCTCTAACTAGGACTACCTTCATCATGAATCCTTGTTGCGCTTCATTTTCAAACTCTGATATTGATTTAGCTCAATCCACAACTCATTAAGGATCCCATGGTAATTTGTAATTGAGAGGGTTCCCTATTTTGCAGAAATAATCCCAGTTATTAACTCAAAACAGGTCCTGCTTCATAAAGTCTTACGGAAGATATCCCAAATTTCACGGGCTGGGCAACAACATGCAATTCCAACTAACCAATGTTGCCATAGAATTTCACAACCATGTCATGATAAGAGAGTTCTCATCACCCCCTTATTGAACTTCAGGTCTATCTTATTAGTAGCTTTCCTTTAAATGTGATTTAATTTCCATCAACCTTTAAGGGTGGTATGAATGACTTGAGCCAATTGCAAATAATTCTTTCCAATAAGGTGATAGGTTAGGTAGGGTGTAAAACGAGTAAATCATTGGTTATGTTAGAGAAGTATAAAACCGTTAAAGAAGTCCTCACCTAACAGCTTAAGTTTTTGAGTTGAGTTGGTTCTTTACATAGTATCAAAGCCTCGTGTCCCAGGTTCGATTTTCACTGCTCCCACTTTTTCTTGTAGAATTTCTTAACACAGGTAGGTAGGCCTATGTATTATCCACACTTCATGCTCAGTGAGCTCTCGTGTGAGGGAGCGTGTTAGAGAAGTATAAAACTATTAAAGAGACCCTCACCTAACAGCTTAAGCTTTTGTTAGCACGATGACTGGGGTGTGTTAGAGAATAATATAAATTATTATTCTTAACAGGTTATAAGGGGCACGATGACTGAGGTAATGTGGGAAGTACTAAGTGGTGGTAGAGTGAGAGAGGTTCTCTATGTCAGACATAGTGGTAGTGGGTATGGGCCAGACAGGAGGTTGTAAGGAAAGGCTAGGGTTTTCTGTTTGGAAGAAGGACCAGCAGGTTTATTTTGAATGGATTCGGTGAGGGCCGATATAGGCAGAGGATTGTGAGATGAGATGAATGACACCAATAACAGGCTAGAGAGCAGCCAAATGAGTATAGAGCTTCTCTCGTGCATGGGTAGGAGGCGGTGGCTAGGTCTTTGGTAGTTGGCCAGACAACAATTTGTCTGGCGGTGTCTCCAATCAGAGAGCCGGTGGCAGCAAACAACGGTGACTATGGTGGGTTTGGTAACTAGGAAAGTAATGGATGCGATAAAGGCATAAAAGATAGGCCAAAACTATCTGCAATGAAGGCAGCTGCTACAGAAAGTGCTAGGATTGACTTTGTAGGCAGGTCGATCTGATAGCAACTTGAATAAAAAAGAATTAAATATTGTTTCTGAATTAATAAAAAAGTGTACAGTGCATTACAAAATATAAACTAAACTAAATAATTACTTTCCTATAATAAGGCTCAATCCACTGTAACTAATTACCTATCTAGTAATATAATAATTTATAATAATTACAAAGATTACAAATGAAACTAATGTGGAACTATGTGTAAAGAACCAATTCAACCCAAAAGCTTAAGCTATTGGGTGAGGCTACATTAATGATTTTATATATCTCAACACGCCCCCTCACATAAGAGCCCACTGAGCTTGAAGGGTGGACAATGCACAAACCCACCTACTTGATCGAAGAAAGAAATTCCACTATAAAGAAAGTGGAGTCAGTGAGGATCGAACCCGGTACACCGAGGCTCTGATAACATGTAAAGAACCAATTCAACCCAAAAGCTTAAACTAGTGGGTGAGGGCTTTTTAATGATTTTATATATGATAACACTTACCAAAGATCACAAATCACAAAAGTTAAATTTATATGTTCTACTCTCCCATTGTAATAAAACTCCTAAACACACCACCACGTAAATCTTTAGTTAGAGCCACAACGACCTGAAAGAAAGCAATGGTGAAGCCATCAGGGCCAGAGATTTCTCCTCATCCATCTCAGAATCTGTATAGTAGATCTCTTATATAAGGCCTCTCAACCCAGGTAAAGCTTTCTAATGCAATAGGAGACATCTAAATTCACATTAAAGGCCTATAAACATCCTCCTACTTAAAGGAAGATTGCAAATCACAGTATCTCCCTGGATATAGAGTTAGCTTTCTGAGAAACTCCTAAACCATCCACTTCTAATTCCTTGACACAACTCGTAAAATCTAAGGCATGTATTCTTGCATCTTGATATTTTCTCCCCTTTTTTCTTTCATACTTTTTAGACAGGTGAATACTGCCATCCATCAAGGAGGACTGAATCAATGGCTTAAATGGTTTCCTAGAGAAAGTGATGCTAAAAAGCAATTGACTTCTTTTTTCCTTTGGCAGGATATTCACTCTTTTATGACGTAATTTCTGCACTTGAAAATTCACATACTCAATTAGTCATTTACAAAAAATTGTGACAGAATGTAAAGCTATTATAAAAGAATTTTAAGAAGTCTTTTAGTTTAATTAAAGTTAAAAGCTCCTTTAATTCTATTAAGGAATAAGGATACTACATGTGTAAGCTTTAGCAAATTTTGTCAAAGAAATACAATAGGCATATTTTAAAACACTAAACTGAGATAAAATTAATGAAGAAAGGAAAATATCTTACCATTTGTGCAACATATATATTTAGCCCATGCACTGAAATATGGAAATTTCCAGCAACCCTTTGAACATCTAAAACACCATAAACCTGCAATAGAATTAAACAAAATGTTAACAGTTTTCAAAGTTAAACACAAATGTCACAAAAAATAATTCATGATATAGTAATAGTAGAATTTATACCCGGCATCCCTCCCCACTGCTTAATGCTTCCTTCACCTTCTTGATAGTATTTTCAGTAGATTCATCAAGGGTTTGTAAATGAATCTTTTGTTCTGAATGCTCATGATGATCTTTATCATCATCTGTTACAGTTTTTATAAGGCTGTAAGTGGCAGGAAAATAACTTTGAAAGAATGTAAGTAGAAGATGAACTGTGAACTTTACACTTGTTATAATATGATACACACACTCAAATCATTTACAGGTAACACCACCCTAGTTAATCTGCAATATGAATTTTAAAAAAAATGATCTATGACATGTAAAAAATGATTTTTGATTTACAGTTAAAAATCAAAAAAAAAAAAGAGAGCAAATAACAACGAAGAGCAAGAAAAATCAAAGATGTAACAAAGCTGCCTAATCTCTACACGTATCTGAATGGCCACTCCCTTTAAACAAACATTGGCACAAAAACAGAGGCCTTATCCACAATCCTATCCCATAAGACAGACATTATTAGAAATGCAACCGTTTTCTTCCAGTCCAAGGCACCAAAGGACCACAAAAAGTGAACACATGTACTCTGTCTTTGTAAAGAACCAATTCAACCCAAAAGCTTAAGTTGTTGGGTGAGGTTACATTAATGATTTTATATATCTCAACACGCCCCCTCACACGCGAGCCCACTGGGCTTGAAGGGTGGACAATGCACAGGTCCACCTACCTGTGCGAACAAAGAAATTCCACTTGAAAGAAAGTGGGGGGCGACGAGAATCGAACCCGGGACACGAGGCTCTGATACCAAATTGAGTTTTTATTTCTACACAAAACTTTTGATAAATTGAAAATAACTCAGAACGATTTTTCATTAAATAAACCCAAGTGCAACGGGAGAAATCATCAATAAAGGTGACAAAATACTGAAAACCCAAAACAGACGTTGTTCGACTCGGACCCCAAATATCAGAATGAACAATAGAAAAAGGAGCATCAGCTCTTTTATTGACTCTATTAGCAAAGGAGGAGCGAGTGTGTTTTCCTTGCTGACAAGAATGACAGTTTAAAGACTTAAGATTGGATAAAAAAGGAACCATATGCTGAAGCTTGGAGAGGTTTGGATGACCCAGACGGCTGTGAATTAGCTCAGGAGACTCTGTGAGAGAACAGGCTACTGGAGAAGGTGGTGCAATCAGATAGTAGAGACCTCGTGACTCAACGCCTGCTCCAATCGTCTTCCCCGTACCCGAATCCTGCATAGAAAAGGATTGTTTAGAGAAGGTACATGAAAGAGAATGAATCAACTGGCTAACAGAGATTATTAAAAGGAATGCCAGGTATATAATAAACAGAACTCAAAGTTAAAAGGGGAGTTGGGTTGGCTTCCCCAATTCCACGAGCAGGAGCCTTAGTGCCATCAGCAAGAGTGACAGGGGGTAGGTTATTAGAATAAGAAAGTGAAGTGAAGAGATCTTTATTACCACAAAGATGATGAGTAGCACCTGAGTCTATTATCCAGGGTCCAAGAGATGATTGATAAAAACAAGCGACATGATTACCAGTGTCTTGAGTAGGATGCTGAGAAGAAACCTTCTTGAGAAGTGCCTCATAGTCGGCACTTGAAAGAGTTACTAATCCAGTTGAAGGTGGCGTAACATCAGTTTGAGCAAATTTGGCAGACGGTGGCTTCAAATGAGGGTACTTCCTATAGCAGCGTTCTTCAAAATGCCCAAGATTCTGGCAATAATTGCAACGAGGCCTCTGTCTGCGGCCACGTCTGCCACCGCATCCACTGTTCCAATTGGAATCACTGGCCCGAGAAAAGAATGGAGATGGGGTAGTACCGGAGATGATGCCAGTCGTGTTTTTGGACGCATTATTTGAGCCCTCCATCACAAAATAAAAGGAGATGACCAGAAAATAGCAAAGAACTACAAGAAAGCAAGAAATCGCGCAAAAACGTTGCACAAAAGTCTCCAAACAGCGGGTTTTTCACTGATATCTTTCAAACAGATGGGACCCACAACGAACGGAGACCAGATCTGGAAAGAGGGTGAGGAGGCGAGCAAGATGGTGGTGGTCCGGCCTGGAACGGTGGCCGGACGGTGGCTCGCGCGCCGGAACAGTGGTTCGGCCGCCGAAGACTTCCTCCGGCGCGTGGCGGCGCGTGGATGCTCCGATCAACACGCGGCTTGGACAGACAGGGTCGCCTCCCTGAGCCGCTCCTGATCGCGTGGTGGTTGGTCGGAAAAGTCGCCGGAAAAGCAGTCTGACGGCGGTGAACAGTGGCGGACGGTGGTTTTGTGGCGGTTTCCGACGATGAACGGAGGCTGACGATCTTTTTCTTGATGATACGAGGTTGAGGACAAGAAATTTGTGACTAAATAAGGGTTAGGTGTGAAAGGATGGTTGCCGGTATGATGCACGGCAGTAAAAAGAAAGGAAAAGATATATATGCGGAAGCAGAGCCCTCAGATCGAGAGCTCTGATACCATGTAAAGAACCAATTCAACCCAAAAGCTTAAGCTGTTGGGTGAGGTTATATTAATGATTTTATATCTCAACAGTCTTGAATAATCTTCACTTTCTACATTTGTATCAGTTCTGATCTCTCTCTAACTTTCTCTCAATTTCCTTCATTTTGTTCCAATTTCTCTGCACTCCAAATTCTATCACTAGCAGTTTCCAATCGCCAAATAGTATATACATGTGTGTTCTGCTATAATAGGTAACTCTGGATGGACATGAAACCACTCATGCATCCTTTAACAAGATATTCAGTCCAACATTTATGACTAATTACTTAAAAACAAATAGGAAAAACTAGTAGCAGAAGAGGATCACTTTATCATGCCAAAAAAAAATGAAAATGAACTTAACACTCGATAGATGAATTGAACCCAATCAAATACAAATCATGGAATTTTAAGCTAGATTTTTTAAATTATATGCATAGTGCAACGAGATATTACCATGACTGTGAGCGGTGTGTTCCATTTCGACAAGATCAGATATATATTCAGTGCCAATTATATGGCCATAACTGTTCAAGCGAAGCTGCAACAAGTCCAAACAAATTACAGTAAACAATGATTAATGAAAAACAGGATTAAAAAGAAAAATAAAAAGGTTAGATTTATTTACTTGACACAATTTCATGGCTATTAAATAACAACCACTATGAACAATTAACAAGTTTATATTTTTTTAATGTATGTTCAGAGTAAACAGTGAAAAAGAGATATATAATGAACCTTGTGTCTCAACTCTCAACTACACAATGGAGACTGAATATATCCAATTAATGTAATAATTGCAATGGTACAACTTTGTAAAGCGTCAAATCAACCAAAAAGTTTAAGCTGATAAGTGAAGGCCACATTAATAGTTTTATATTATATTTCCCTAACACACCTCACATAAGAATTCATTAGACTTGAAGGGTGGACAATGCACAAACTCACCTACTTGTATCAAGAAACTCCATAGTATTTAATTATTTATTAATAGAATAGGGGCAATGGGGATTGAACTCTGATCAATTGGTCATAGAGACTTTTATACCATGTAAAGCATATTCAACCCAAAAGCATAAGCTAATAAGTGAAGGCCACGTTAATGGTTTTATACTATATTTCTGTAACATATTTCCTTTTTATTATATTTACATGATATATTTGGAGTCTAGCCAATACAATGAATCTACATTTACATAATAATGCTCTCAACACTTAGTTAGGTGGAGCGTTAGTTGGAGCATGTAGGCCATATGTGACAACTTGTTCCAAATATAATTTAACTAACAACCTCTCAAGCACTTAGTGAAAACATATATTAGTTGATCATCTGAATTGACACAAGATCTTCTCTATCATAAATTGACAGTCCATCTCAATTTGTTTGGTCTTATCCTCTCATGGAACATTAGAATCGAGAGGATATCCAAAGTAACTTGATGATCACTATAAAGAACCAATTCAACCCAAAAGTTTAAGCTATTGGATGAGGGCACTTTTAATGGTTTATATTATTCTCTAACACGCCCCCTCACAAGAGAGCCCATTGGACTTGAAGTGTGGACAATGCACAGGCTCACCTACCTGTGCTAAGAAAAAAATTCCCCTGGAAAGAAAGTGGGGGCGGTGAGGATCGAACCCGGGACACGAGGCTCTGATACCATGTAAAGAACCAATTCAACCCAAAAGCTTAAGCTATTGGGTGAGGGCACTTTTAATAGTTTATATTACTCTCTAACAATCACAAATAAGCATCATTTGCATAACCTCCCCAATTGAAGCTCTTTAAGTAGCTGTTACAACTAAATGCGTTCGCAAGTGACAAAGGCAAAGGCCATGGCTTGATATTCTAATTCAACACTTGATCTTGCAATCATTTTGTTTCTTATTTTTCCAAGATATTACATTACCCCACAAATACACAATATAAAGTAATCGTGGATAGTGGAACAGTGCAACTAGCCCCAAAAACACTACATTGATATAGTGAATTGCAGAATGGCTGCTATATCGAAAATAATGGATAGAATTCAAATAATTTATATTACACACTCTTGATATTCAGCTATATAAGGGTCATAATTCATTTAATGTGATAGACATGCTTGGCAGCTGTCAGCCACTTTCCTATGCACTTCTCTAGGAAGCTGAAATGTCATAATTAATTTAATGTGATGTTCAGACATGCTTGCCAGCTGTCGGCCACTTTCCTATGCACTTCTCTAGGGAGCTGAAATGATTTGTATTTAGCTTTCCTCTCTCCTCTACGTCAGAGGTGTTTTTTAGTATTTATTATTGTCTCTTTTTCTAGGTAGCATTAACTCTATTGGTTATTAGTTGGCAGGTTAGTTGTTATAGTATTAAATACTCATCTTCTATACATATTCGTGTGTAGAGCTGAATATGATAAGTGAAAAATACAGCTTTTGTGTGCTATCTCTCTATTTTTCCTAATTTCTTATTCTAAGATTTCTTCATGGTATTAAAGCTCTCCTCTTGAGGGCTTGATCACCATCCCTATCCCATGTCCATACTGTATTTTGGCTCCATGAGAGCTCTTCAAACCACTGTTAATGATGAAACTTCAAACACCAACAATAAAACACAAAACCCTTTAGCCCCATCTCCTGTCTCAAATGAAAGTCCATCTCTTGTCATCATTGGACATTGATTCAATGAAGAAAACCACTTATTGTGGTCTCGAAGTGTTCTCATGCACCTTAAAGGAAAAGGAAAGGTTGCATATCTCACCGGTGACATAAAAGAACCCAATGAGGATTATCCAAAACATGAGCAGTGGGACTTACAAAACAACCTCATTATGTCATGGCTCATTAATTCCATGACTGTTGAAATGGGAGAAAACTACATTATGTGCAAGTCTGCCAAACAAATTTAGGATGGAGTCGACGCTGGTTACTCCAAGAAGGATAATACAGCAGCTCTATTTCAGGTCAAAGCGGTTCTAATATACCTGAAACAAGGTGAGTTAAATGTTACCTAATATTATAATACCCTAATGCGTAATTGGCAGCAAGTGGACAACACCAACATCCAATGACACCATGTCATCTTACAAAACTTCTAATATGTTAAAGTAAGGAACAAATTGAGTTCATTTAGAAGTTATTTGCCTCTCATGATGCTGAAAATACTCCAAGCACTAGTGCCATTGCACAAGCAAGTAAATTCACTACCCTCCACACTTTTTCTGACAAAGATGATACTTGGATAGTGGATTCCGGTGCTATTCACCATATGACTAGTAATATCTCTCTCCTATCACATCTTCATAAGAATTTTGAGAAGAAAATAGTCACTTTGGCTTATGGTAACTCAATAGAAATCCGAGGAATTGGGGTGGCAATGATTTCTAAAGGCTTTACATTGCAAGATGTTCTGTTTGTTCCCAAGTTATCTTGCAATTTGATTTCTGTTAATCAACTAACAAGAGACTCACAATGTGCTGCCATCTTTAACTCAAATGGTTGCTCCTTTCAAAATTTGGTTTAGGAGCGAGTATTTGGCAATGCTAGGAAGATCGGTGGCCTTTACCAAATCATAACAAAAAATTGGACGCCTCAAGTTCTTATGACTCTTGCTGGAAATGACAAGGATGTGATGTTATGGCATTATCAATTAGGTCATCCAAATTTTGATTACATGAAAAAACGTACCCCAACTTATTCAATAAAAGATCAACTTTTCCTACCTGCGAGTGGTGTCAAATATCTAAACATGTTAAATCCACTTATCCTTCAAAGGCCTATCAACCTTCTCAACCATTTTCTTTGATCCATAGTGATGTATGGAGACTTGCCAATGTGAAAAATGTCAATGGGGCTCTCTGATTTGTAACTTTTATTGATGACCGCACTCGCCTTACATGGATTTACTTGTTGCATTCTAAATTAGAAGTATATAAATCATTCCATGCCTTTTATTCTTATGATTCAAACTCAATTCCAGACCCAAATTAAAGTTCTTCGTTCAGATAATGCAAAGGATTATTTTAATTCCAACCTCTCATCCTACCTTACCAATCATGGCATAATTCACCAAAGCTCCTGTGTTTATACTCCTCAACAAAATGGTATTGCCGAAAGGAAAAACCACCACATTTTAGAAGTTGGTCGTACCCTTCTCTCCATCTCCAATACTCCCAAACAATTTTGGGGTGAAGCCATTCTTACCACTGGCTACCTCTTTAACCGCATGCCTTCCCGGACATTAAATTTCAAGTCTCCAATCCAACAAATCCTTCTCACTTACCTTTTTTTCTTCCATAAATTCTCTCTCCTAAGGTCTTTGCTTGCACTGTCTTTGTCTATAATACTCATGGTTGTAAACTTGAACCTCGGGCCATTAAGTGCATTTTCATAGGCTATTCCCTACACAAATAGGATACAAGTGTTGTGCCCCTCTTACAAAGAAAACCTATGTCCACATGGATGTTACGTTTCTTGAAGACCAAATTATCACCAATTGCCCATTCAGGGGAAAGTGATCCAAGACAGTCAAATGAATGTCCAATTGATACTCCCACAAAAGACCAAATCACCCTAAACTCCTTCATACCCGAGCCAACCTTCCCATCTACTCTATCTGAAGCGAACCCCATCATGCCACCCGAGATTGACATTCTTATCACTCATGACCAAGAAGAACCAAGAACAATTGATGCAACCAGATAGGAAGCCTATGAAGAGGAAGCAATCAGTCAGCCAGACAACCCTCCTCCTAGACAAAGCAATCTGAGCCTCCTACACCAAATCTTGAAGATGACTTGCACTGGCCTATTGCTCTCCGAAAGCGGTAAGAACTTGCACTAGACACCCCATTAGTAATCATGTTTCATATAAAAAATTGTCTTCTTAGATGCAAGCCTTTGTGAGCAATGTTGCTCTTGAGGCAATTCCAAACAACTTCCAAGAAGCCATCTGATACGAAGGTGCTGAAGATATATGGAAGAAAACGTCTAAGAGGAAGAACAATAAAATAAAGCTGACGTGGCACAAGTATTCTAGAATATGGTCACGTTTTGGGAGGGTCAGTCAGTTAGGAAGTTGTAGTAGGAGGGTGAGGATAATTGTGACGTGTCAGGGTTGTTAGGATGAGTAATAAAAGTAGCACTCTAAGGTGAGAAGAACAGAACAGAAAAAGAAGAGAATGGGAGAGCCGGCACCTCTCGAATGTGCTGAGTAGAATTTATTTTTCTTGTCATTACTGTAATGTTTGCATTTTACATTCAATATATAAAAATCTGGAAGGAATCCTTTCTGGGCAAAAACTTGTTTGAGTTATTTTCATATTACATTGTACTGTGAGTAATAACCTATCAATTGGCGTCGTCTGTGTATGGTTTTGACGCGCACTATGGACGCACGTATTGAGGCTCTTGAGGAACGTTTCCGTCGAAATGAAGAACTCGCGGATACACGTCATCGCGAGCTTCTTCAATTATTACAAGGGGATCGACCCATTGGTGAGAGTCCACTTCACGGTGGTCGTCGTCGACGTGGGCGTTCTGGGCGACGTAGC